GAACAGTGAGAAGTGATCAAGAGACGAGGGTAAAATGCCTTGCAGTAGCGACAGTGCCTGGGAAGGCGCCTGTTGCTTAGCGGGAAGGCACCTGTTGCTTAGCGGGAAGGCACCTGTTGCTTAGCGGGAAGGCACCTGTTGCTTAGCGGGAAGGCACCTGTTGCTTAGCGGGAAGGCACCTGTTGCTTAGCGGGAAGGCACCTGTTGCTTACGGGAAGGCGCCTGTTGCTTAGCGGGAAGGCGCCTGTTGCTTACGGGAAGGCGCCTGTTGCTTAGCGGGAAGGCGCCTGTTGCTTACGGGAAGGCACCTGTTGCTTAGCGGGAAGGCGCCTGTTGCTTACGGGAAGGCGCCTGTTGCTTAGCGGGAAGGCATCTGTTGCTTACGGGAAGGCATCTGTTGCTTAGCGGGAAGGCACCTGTTGCTTAGCGGGAAGGCACCTGTTGCTTAGCGGGAAGGCACCTGTTGCTTAGCGGGAAGGCACCTGTTGCTTAGCGGGAAGGCACCTGTTGCTTACGGGAAGGCACCTGTTGCTTACGGGAAGGCACCTGTTGCTTAGCGGGAAGGCGCCTGTTGCTTAGCGGGAAGGCGCCTGTTGCTTAGCGGGAAGGCATCTGTTGCTTACGGGAAGGCACCTGTTGCTTAGCGGGAAGGCACCTGTTGCTTAGCGGGAAGGCACCTGTTGCTTAGCGGGAAGGCACCTGTTGCTTAGCGGGAAGGCACCTGTTGCTTAGCGGGAAGGCACCTGTTGCTTACGGGAAGGCACCTGTTGCTTACGGGAAGGCACCTGTTGCTTAGCGGGAAGGCGCCTGTTGCTTAGCGGGAAGGCGCCTGTTGCTTAGCGGGAAGGCATCTGTTGCTTACGGGAAGGCACCTGTTGCTTACGGGAAGGCGCCTGTTGCTTAGCGGGAAGGCGCCTGTTGCTTAGCGGGAAGGCACCTGTTGCTTACGGGAAGGCACCTGTTGCTTACGGGAAGGCACCTGTTGCTTACGGGAAGGCACCTGTTGCTTAGCGGGAAGGCACCTGTTGCTTAGCGGGAAGGCACCTGTTGCTTAGCGGGAAGGCACCTGTTGCTTACGGGAAGGCATCTGTTGCTTAGCGGGAAGGCACCTGTTGCTTAGCGGGAAGGCACCTGTTGCTTAGCGGGAAGGCACCTGTTGCTTAGCGGGAAGGCACCTGTTGCTTACGGGAAGGCACCTGTTGCTTACGGGAAGGCACCTGTTGCTTAGCGGGAAGGCACCTGTTGCTTACGGGAAGGCACCTGTTGCTTACGGGAAGGCACCTGTTGCTTACGGGAAGGCACCTGTTGCTTAGCGGGAAGGCACCTGTTGCTTACGGGAAGGCACCTGTTGCTTACGGGAAGGCACCTGTTGCTTACGGGAAGGCACCTGTTGCTTAGCGGGAAGGCACCTGTTGCTTACGGGAAGGCATCTGTTGCTTAGCGGGAAGGCACCTGTTGCTTAGCGGGAAGGCACCTGTTGCTTAGCGGGAAGGCACCTGTTGCTTAGTGGGAAGGCACCTGTTGCTTAGCGGGAAGGCACCTGTTGCTTACGGGAAGGCACCTGTTGCTTAGCGGGAAGGCGCCTGTTGCTTACGGGAAGGCGCCTGTTGCTTAGCGGGTAAGGCGCCTGTTGCTTACGGGAAGGCGCCTGTTGCTTAGCGGGAAGGCACCTGTTGCTTAGCGGGAAGGCACCTGTTGCTTACGGGAAGGCACCTGTTGCTTACGGGAAGGCACCTGTTGCTTAGCGGGAAGGCACCTGTTGCTTAGCGGGAAGGCACCTGTTGCTTACGGGAAGGCACCTGTTGCTTACGGGAAGGCACCTGTTGCTTAGCGGGAAGGCACCTGTTGCTTAGCGGGAAGGCACCTGTTGCTTACGGGAAGGCACCTGTTGCTTACGGGAAGGCACCTGTTGCTTAGCGGGAAGGCACCTGTTGCTTAGCGGGAAGGCACCTGTTGCTTACGGGAAGGCACCTGTTGCTTAGCGGGAAGGCACCTGTTGCTTACGGGAAGGCACCTGTTGCTTACGGGAAGGCACCTGTTGCTTACGGGAAGGCACCTGTTGCTTAGCGGGAAGGCACCTGTTGCTTAGCGGGAAGGCACCTGTTGCTTAGCGGGAAGGCACCCGTTGCTTAGCGGGAAGGCGCCTGTTGCTTAGCGGGAAGGCGCCTGTTGCTTAGCGGGAAGGCGCCTGTTGCTTGGCAGGCAGGCCTTGCAGTAACGCCAGCCCAGCGCCAGGGGAGGCACCCATTGCTTAGCAGGTGTGAGGTGAAGTTTCCCTTTCACTGCGGAGTTCAGAGAATACTCTGCTTTGTCTGGCTCTCAAGGAAGGTCTGACACTAGCCAGGTCGGCCTGTAGACTTCCAGGGGCTTAAACACCTCTCCATGATGCTGTGCTCCGATGGTTACCATCCTTGTCCACTTTCATGCTCCACTCTCCCACCCAATACTCCCTTGTAAATTCTTAGTAGAGGAATCCTAGAAGCCTTTGATCTCTCTGATAAGCGCATAGAAAGATATCGACATACGTGCCTCCCGTCTTTGCAGTGGCCGAGGGAGGGGCCCTCTGTACAGTACCCATGTAGCCCCCTGTATTGTATTGTAAGAATGTGATTTGCTTGACCCCTACCAATCATGTTAGATGAGTCACTCTCCTGACCCTGCCCCCCTGCCTTGTATACAGTAAATACCAGCGTGTCCAGGCGTTCGGGGCCACTGCTGGACTCAGAGACTCGGTAGCAGTGGTCCCCGGGCCCAGCTGAATTCTTCTCTTCTGTGTCCTTGTGACTTCCTTTTCTGTGATCTATGGTCTCCACACACAAAAGAACACCCACTAGACCCCACTGGGCTGGACCCTGCAAGACCACCTGGCAGTTATTACAAAGCAGCAGGTGTGAAGGCAGCTGAAGGGAAGCTGGACATGGAGCAGGACATGCTATGTCCCAGGTGGACCTTCCTGGAGTCAGATGGCCTCTGCAGATGCCAGTGCAGATGGACAAGGTGACAGGGGACCAGGTTTCCTACCCTTACGTACCACACACGACTTGGCTGCCACAACTCCCAGAACTGAAGGCTGGGATCCTGGATGGACTGAGATCGAGTTTCTGTCCCTCTGTGGAAGGGAAACTTGAAGCAGAAGTGAAGGGAAGGTGCCTTCAAGAAGAAAGGTTTCCAGGACAGCGGACCTAAGGGTAGTAATATGGACCTGGCAATCATCCAATTCTTTCTTCGGAATACCTCCAAAACCCAACTCCCTTTCCCTCTCTGCACTGCTACCATGGTGGTCCAAGCCGCCCTCATCTCTGGATTATCTCTATAGCCCCTGATCCTCCAAGGGCTCTCTGCCCCTACTCTGGCCTCAGAGTTGTTAATTCTCAACAGACTAGCAGAGTGCACCCGCTACGTCGCAGAGACCATGTCAGTTCTTAGAAGCCTGCGATGACTCTATGTCACTGAGTCCTTTTGGTGGCCACGTATTACCTGTCTGACCATCACCGACTACTCAAACCCACGCTCACGCCACTGCATGATCACTTCCACTCCAGGGCCCTTGCACACAACAAGCCCCTGGCCTGAGATGCCCTTCCTTCACTTCCTTCCTAGTCACCTTCTCAATAAAGCCCTCTCTGCCTCTTCTGAAAATTTCTCCCCGCCCTCCATACCCTTCCCACCTCTCTCCCCGTCTTTAGCTGTTCCCTGTAGCACTTACTTCGACACAGCATAGATTTTGTTGAAGGCAGGGATTTCTGCCTCTTTAGCTGCCCAGTGCCTAGAAAAAGCGCCTGGCACCCAGTAGACATGTTCAGTAGTATTTACAGAGTTAAATGAACTAAGCTTAGGAGGCGGGGAGTTGTTTTTCTCTGGGCCTTTGCCCATTTCGCTCCCTCCTTCCCGTTCCAGCTTCCAGGTTTCTCATTCCCTCTGCTTCTCCTCTTTTGCTGGCTCTGACCTGCGGCCCTCTTGCCCTTGGTATAAAGGGCTCAAAACGCCATACAGCTCTGCCGCCATGGGGAGGAGACCCTGACTGAGAAGCCAAGACCCCGGCCTCCAGGGTCATCAGTATTTTGGGCAGGCTGGGGTGTCGCTGAGGCTTGGGTGACTCCAAAAGGCATGGAGGGGGTGGGTACTCCCAGATGGCTCGCCAACCCCCGCTTCTTGCCTCGCAAGAGCGACCTGGCGGAAGGTCTGTGGGTTTAGCATGGTCCAGCCCTGTTTCTCCACTTCCAGGCTGTGCGCCCCGAACCAGGCCTCTCCTAACAGGGCTCGCGGACTCTTCTGACCCTCACTGAGGTCGTAAAGAAACAAAAGCCAGTGGTCCACACCCAGTCGCGTCGGGCCCGCCACATACCCACTAAGTCAGCCGAGGCCCTGGGGTTCCGCTCCGCCACCCAACCCACGGTGAGCTTTCGCAGGCCGCTCATTCCCGCGAGGCCGTCGCCCCATTTATACTCGGCAGGGCATTTCCACGCGTCCCGTCCCAGGCAAGCCCCTTTTTCGGGCAGCACTCGGCCCACTTCACTGGCGAGGGAACTGAGGTCCGAGTCACTGCGAGAGGAACACGAGACAAGTTAGTTGGGTTCTTTCCTTAGCAAGTGACCTAACCCGCCCTGCCCACGGCCGCGAGCGGAGGGGCAGGCCGGAAGTCCGCCAGCTCGGCTGTTCCGAACTCCGCCAGTCTCCGAACCCCGCTCTCAGACCGAGGTTTCTCCAGCCCTTTCCCGACGGAGCAAAATCTCTCTTCCCGGACTGTACCAAGCGGGTCACACGACCTACGGCGGCTCGGTCACGTGTCCCGCAGTCCGGTCATGTGCACCCTCAGACCAATCCCAGCGGCCAAGAGGGAGCGGCATTATGATTGGCCCATGCCCGCCGTGGGGCGGGACTCTTGCTGAGGAGGGCCCACCCTATTACCTCTGGGTTCTGGGCGGATCTCGCTCTCTCGCGAGATTGGGTGTTCAACAGGCTCCCTTAGGTCCCACAATGCATTAGGCGGAGGCGGGGCGGTCCCGCATTGGCGCAGCCTGGCACTCCACTTGCGTCATCTCTCGGTGCCGCCCTTGAGATGGGGGCATTTCTTGTCAAGATCTTGCAGTCGACTCTCTGTAGCTTGGAGAAGAGAAGGAACTCTCTTCCTGGGCCCCAGAGAAGTTTGGGCCCACTGTCGTCCCCTCCCTGACTCTAAGGTCCTCTCCTCGCGACCGCCTTCGACTTCTCAATGTTAGGCTTTAGCGCCAGGATCCGGCCTAACCCTCCCCTTGCCTGGCGCCCCCTCAGATCCACATTCTGCCCCGGGGGTGGGGTGTGTGTGTGTGCATGTGTGAGTGTGTGAGACGCTTCTCGATGCAGATGCACCTGAGTAACGCTGTGTTTATAAAGTGCCCGTTTAGCATCTCTGGGGCTCCTGGGCGCTGGTCCTCCTCATTTCCCTTCCACTGCCTTTTTCCATCACAGCTGCGCTGCGTGTTCACCAACAGTATCTGTTGCTGGCTGCTTTTATTACAGAAATTAAGAAGATTAGGTCGAAAAACTCTCGGATTGCCAGGTGTGGTGGCACAGGCCTGTAGTCCCAGCTCTCAGGAGGCTGAGGCAAGAGGATTGTTTGAGCCCAGGAGTCCGAGTCCAGCCTGGGGAACAAGACCCCATCTCTAAAAAAAAAAAAAGCCCTAGAACATAAACAAAAACGCCTCTTGGATTGACCGGTGATAAATTTGTTACACATTACCCTATAAAAATTCACAAATCCTTATGACTGGTTCAGCCCCAGCTTATGTTTATTTACCTGTGAATTTCTAAAAATCCTCAAGAGCAACCACCCTAAACCATGACAGGAAGCCCTGGAAGTAGAGAAACAGGAATTATAGAGATCCTGCAGCTTTTATGTGCCCCCGCCTCCACCCCCAAGTTCTGTGGAATTTACATCATGCTTTTTACACGCAGCACAAAGTCTTATGAGTAGGGGCTCTTGGCTTCCAGTCAGTTTGGGCTCATCTCAGCACCTCTATGCCTCTTCTCTTCTCTAAAAAAGGAGCTGAATTAATCCTAGTAGATCTCAAACTTTTTGACAGTGGAATCCATTTTCCTCCAAATGAAATCTTTTTTTTTTTTTTTTGAGACGGAGTTTCGCTCTTGTTTCCCAGGCTGGAGTGCAATGGCGCGATCTCCGCTCACCGAAACCTCCGCCTCCTGGGTTCAGGCAATTCTCCTGCCTCAGCCTCCCGAGTAGCTGGGATTACAGGCATGTGCCACCGTGCTCAGCTAATTTTTTCTATTTTTAGTAGAGACAGGATTTCACCATGTTGACCAGGATAGTCTCGATCTCTTGACCTCGTGATCCACCCGCCTTGGCCTCCCAAAGTGCTGGGATTACAGGCGTGAGCCACTGCGCCTGGCCCAAATGAAATCTTATATAAAACCACAAATTTTAAATAAGAGCTGAATTTTTACAGAGGCTAATGTGTTGGTGGTCTCCAAAGCTCTGAAATTTAGCATGTTTAAAAAAAGTTTTAAAGTTTTCAGCTGGACATGGTAGTGTGTGCCTGTAATCCCAGCTACTCAGGCGGCTGAGGCAGAATTGCTTGAACCTGGGAGGCAGAGGTTGCAGTGAGGTGAGATCGTGCCACTGCACTCCAGCCTGGGTGACAGAGCTACACTCCATCTCAAAAAACCAATTTTTTAAAAAATAAAATCCAAACTTACATAAAAACAAAAGCCTCAGGCTGGGTGCGGTGGCTCATGCCTGTCATCCCGGCACTCTGGGCGGCTGAGGTGGGAGGATCACCTGAGGTTAGGGGTTCAACACCAGCCTGGCCAACATGGCGAAACCCCGTCTCTACTAAAAATATAAAATTAGCCAGATGTGGTGGTGCGCACCTGTAATCCCACCTTCTCAGGAGGCTGAAGCAGGAGAATCGCTTGAAACCAGGAGGCGGAGGTTGCTGTGAGCCGAAATTGCACCACTGCACTCCAGCCTTGGGGGGCAGAGCAAAACTCTGTCTCCAAACAAACAAAACAAAACAAAACAAAACAAAAAAGCCTCTGAGGAACAGGAGCTGCTGGACTGGAGTCGAGCTCTTCTGGTTCTGGGGGTCAAGTGCACCATCGCAGCCCACAGCTGTCACAGCTGTCCCTTGACACTGTCTCCATAGGGGCTGCTTCCCCAATGCAATAACAGGGCTGAGCAGGGGCTCCGGGCGGCCCTGGGTGTCTCGTGGGGCAACAGTCATGAAGGACAGACCCTGGGGCCCATGACCCTGGGTACCCCCTACCTTGCAGGGCCCGGGGTTCTCCCCAGTGTCAAGTGGTGGCGAATGCAGACGCGAGGGTTGAGGAGAAGGAAACATTTTAATGAGGAAGCTGAGCCCCCTTTAAGCGATCAGGCCCAGAGGCACTGGAATGAGATGGCGGCCGCACCCCACTCCCCCTCCCGCCTTGGGAAATCATCCGAAGGTTGCTATGTGGGCTCTAGACTGGCACCGAGAGCTATGCGTGTATCTAACAATGACACATGCCAGACACCGTAACTTGTGGCCTGTAGTTCCAATCACTAATGAAGCGTTTCTGTCAACCGGTGAGAACTGAAAACACCGAGTAACGGCCCCTTTCCCGATCCGTCCTTTTCCCTTTAAATGCTGGAGCCTCTCTTTCTCCCCACAGCATTTTTCAAGGCAACCTGGGCCCAAATAAGCTCTCTCCCCATGTTTAATTTTTGAGACAGGGTCTTGCTCTGTGGCCTAGGCGGGCGTGCGGCAGTGAGATCTCAGCTTACTGCAGTCTCAATCTCCGGGGCTCAAGTGATCCTCCCACCTCAGTCTCCTGAGTAGCTGATGACAAACACGGGCCATGGCGCCTGGCCTCTCCCTGTATTAGTCTGTCTCAGTTTCTTCTTTTAGGATGACAATACCGTAACTCCACACTGTCCCCCGGGGGTGTTCCTATGGCCTGGCATGGCACTGTGGGCATGTCCCCAGGCCCTTACCTGTGTTCATCACTGCCCGTGACGCTGCCCGTCTAGAAGGCATTTCTACCATGTAACATGGTGGTGGGGGCTGGGATCCCAGGCCACACTGCTTGGGTCGAAACCTGGCTCCACTCAGTATTCATGTGACCTCGGGCAAGTGACTTCACCTTTGTGTGCCTCAGTTTCCTTATTTGTGAATGAGGATAAGAGTGGTAAATTATTTGGTGGGTTGTGAGAACTAAGTAAATTAACCCAGGGGCATGAGGCATCCACCACAGCCCTGGCATAGAGGCAGTGGTAAGAAATACGAGTTCTGCTTGTCATTACTGCTCATGGGTGACGGCAGCCCTCAGGGAAGGAGACGTGAAGCCAGTGCCGTGTTGCCTTTATGCTTCTTGCCACCCCAAAATAGCAGCAGCGTGCAGCTGGGCTGAAACGGCAGTGCGCCTCTGCTTGGTGCATCCTCTCAAGAACTCTTGAGCTGTAGGAAGTTCCTCAACACCAGGTTTCCTCCAGCTTCAAGGCGGGGATGAGGAAGGCAGTGGGCAAACATCTAGGCTGCGCGAACAGCGATCTGAGTAGCGGCGCAGGATGTGAAGTCTTCTGGCCAGTGTGCCTGCTTTTAGGTGCAAGTGGGGCGTGTGTGGTTCTTCAAAATAGCCAGCAAAGTTACCAGACCCTTGGGCCAATGACCACACTCTGCCTGGGTCTCAGCCTCATCCACGTGCCCCGGCTGCAGTGAGTGGCAGTGTCTGCATCTCTGTCATGCGAAGGGAGCACAGACACCACTGGGTAGAGAAGGAAGCTCAAGGACAAAGCTTGCCCTGCCACGCCAGCCGGCCACACGCAGCTACGGAGAGGTGAGGTTACAGCCACAACACGAGGAGATCAGTCCTTCACCCCGTTTCCACGGGCTTCTCGCTAGAGTGTCAGTGAGGATGGTGAATCTCTCTGCGGAGGAGCAGGCAGGTGAACTACGATTCCAAATTCACACTGTCAGCAATTCCTCAAGACTTTCATTTCTATAAACTGTATGTATTGATTCACCTTTTCCTACTCAAAGAGGCCTCAAAACCAAAACCAAACCACGAGGTGGTCTATAAGAAGTCACTCTGCCTTTTCCACTAAATTGGTAAAAAATCAGCAGATAGACTTAGCTTTGAACACCTGTGGCTAGCAAGAGGTGGAGCGAGCGCTGCAGGCGGGCTGGTCAGATCAGCGGCCGCCCGCAGTCAGCTTGCGTGGGGGCGGCCCTGACCCAGCGGGAACCTGGTCACAGCAGAGCCGCTTGCCCAGCGCCCTCGCTAAATTTAGTCTCATGATGAGCAGTGAAATCCACATGTTCTTTATTCAGTCCACATGATACACTGTTTTTTAGAGTTTTTGAAAATTAGATAAAAGAGCATATTAAATGGCAAGTGTATGAAGTTTCTCTTCATAAACAATGTCAAAACAAAAAGTTTTGAATTACAAAATGTGCTTAACAGTTCACTAAAGCGTAAAGTTAGATATTTTCTAAAGAAAAATAATTGTGCCACTGACCTATATTTGCTGTTTCTATGAACGTTTTTTATTCTGTACATAGGACATTTTGTACAAAATATGAAGTCTACATTTTTATTACTTATTACCATAAAACAAAGATACAATGTATGTACAATATTAAAAGGAAGTCATACTAAAGCCACACTAAAAAGACACTTGGAATAGTGACACTTCTGATGTACAGATACATTTTGGAAAGAGTGAAGATGCCAAACGCAGACCTTTATGAAGAAAAACAGTCACCGGTTTATTTTCAATGCAGGACTTTGAAATCAGTTTGGTACAGAATAAACAGTCTCTATACAGTGAGATGTAAGCTGGACGAGCACGGGAGTCCGAGTACTACTGAGGGAAACTTTAGGAGGCCAAAATATTAAGTAATACTCTTGCCAAAGAAAATCAGTTTCTCTCAAAACTTTTATCTTTCTTTTTGGTGAGTGTTTGTCTTCAATAAAGAGCAGAAATAAAACCTAGACAAAAAGATGTTCTTAGACATTGAGCTTTACACAGTCACCCAAACATTGATATTTTGCTTTTTCCCTAGGGCAAAAAGAGAGCCTTCCCAGAAACCTCTCTCACAAACATACTGAACATCCAAAATCAAGGATATTTGAGAATCTATCAGCTAAAGACGGAAGTTCAAACAATGGTATATCAAAATACGTAAGACGCTGCTTTGTACAATAAAAAGCACCCTTTTTCCCTCAAAAGGAGAAGGCATCTAAACTGTTTTTTTTTTTTTTAAATTATAGATTTCATAATGGTAAAATGGAGAGATACTTGTCAAGTTTCTCAGGAAGTGTTCGTCTCACGAAGTGGACTTGTCCACTTTTAGCTGGGGCAGTCTTTGCATCTCATACCTGCGCTTGCTCTTGACACGAGAAGTCCCCTCCCCCCAGGTGATTTTCCTCCAAGACACGAGGACAGAAGCATTGCCAGTGGCTTTAAAGAGAGCTGTGGGCAGCGGCACCGCAGCAGTGTCTGCTGCTCACCATCCTTCACAGGATATCCAAGACCTCGATGAAAAAACAGATCCGAAAAGAAGCCACATTCTGTCTTTTATGCGTCAAGACACTTAACATTAAGTTATATAATCTTATGCCAGAGATAAAAGAAACTAGAAGCACGTGTTTAGAACAGCAGTACACGTCTCAAGTAGCTTTCAAGCAGGATAAGTAAGTTAAAATATTGGCCACCCTGAGAGAAAGAAAGAACAGACAAAGCACTAAGCTTGAAGATTTTTCTCCTTGTGCTACTCCATCTAAAACAAAAGCTCAACACATGCAGGAGAGTCTGTGGAATACATAGCAGCATTTGAAGACACTGTATTTTCCTTACAAGGTGTTGAGAACGTGAGCTCTTCTCAACAGAAAGAGCTCCGGGGAACCCTGTCCTCGCTGGCGCCCCCTCCCAGCTCTCAGACCGCGTGGCGGCCCCACCGAAGGCTGCGGCAGGACCGGCCTCGCAAGGCTGTTTGGTTCCCGTATACTCAAAGGCAGCTGCAGCTTGCATTACGCTAGGAACTGGCTTGGCTCAAAACGATTTTGTTCCAACTTTCCATAAAATGTGGAATTCTTAGAGACTATAATTTTATCAATTTAAGAGCCTTGTTTGAAGGGCAACAATGTTTAAGTTGAATGGAAACGAAATCTGAAACAAAAACATGAACACGTAATTTTTAAACTCCAATTTCTGTCAAGATAGACAGAGCAAGCTCTTTTAAGATAAACTTGAGAGCAATCTCTTTCCAAATAAATTTTTTTCTACGAGCTTACTCCTGGAATCCTGGAGTACCACAGACTTGGAAATATGGCTTTGGGTACACCCAAGAGAAGGAGACACGGTCTTGACGTCACTCATCGAGTAAAGAGATCCCTTAGAAAAGACCAGCGCCTGAGGATTGTCACTTTCCCAGTATGTCGTGTGAGAACTCGAAAGCCAAGAGTCATGTCACTGAGACTCAAAAACAAACGAACGAGAACTGCTGGCGTAGCAGTCACATGGAAACCATTCCAAAGGCCGGAAAGTCTTAAACCAGGCCACACTTGTTCAAGTGTTCCTTTGATTTGAAAACCACTGATGTCATCACAGAATCTCCTAGGTTAAAACATCCTAAGTTCCATTTGGGAGAACGCGAGGATGACGGGCAGGGTGCTTTCCTATCGCTCTGACTTTGTGAAATAGTCTGAGTTGGACTGCGCTGGGGTGGTGACGACACTGTGGGACACTGTCGTCAACCCGGGGCTCTGCCAGCGGGTTCTGGGAAGTCACCATTGTTTGAACTCCTAATCTCGCGCTGAGGCGGACGCACGTTATTGCCTACAGAACGGGATCCAAGAAAGCTCTGACTTTGAGTGTAAATGATTGGTATGGCACAGAAAGTATGTATTTTCTACAGAATCCAGAAAAGAACTGGTGGGCCCAGCCCCGATGCGGCGCCCCGGAGGCTAGCGGCCGTCCTGGGAGGCCTGCTCGTCGGCCCTGCAGTGAGCTTCCAAGGCTTTCCTGGTGTGGGGATCCTGAGGCAGCTCGGACTTGCGGCGTGCAAGGGGACGGTCCTTCTTCAGATCTTTCTGTGCCTGGAATTAGAAATGCAACGGCGTTGGCTCCAAACTGAGCTATCTGCAAAGTGAGCTCACGTCTGAGTTGGAAGTCAAAGGACAAATGTAGGCACATGTGCCTCGCCCCTCACTACTGGCACCCTGGCCACAGGGAATGGGCATATGTCTTATCACGGAAATTCACCAAAAATGTCTTGCTACTAAAAATCATGACTCATGTGAGGGCCTGTGTGTTCAATCCTGGCGCTCTGGCCTTCTGAAATGTGCTGTGCTTGTATAAAGGCCTCAGTTCCTCTAATCTGCAGAATTCATGCAGTTTAGTAAATCTCATAAACAACCTCCTATTTCATAAATGTCATTAAAGCCGTTTTGTGGGCATGTCCCCTACAGAAGCATTTCAGAAAGTAGAAACTTCCTTGGAGGTAAAAGAAAAAAAAAAAATGAATGAATGAAAAACGCACTTAAATTGAATTTCAAACTTCTACCAAATTGAAAAGAAAAAAAAAGGTACTTTTCCAATCCATTGTCTTCCTAAAAGTCTAGGAAATTTTGGTTTCACTTAAAAAAAAAATGACCGTATCGCAGTACTTGTAAGAGTGTGTTAACGTGTGAGGATGTAGAGCATGTCTACCTCCAGCCCATGAGAAGCTCAGAGGTGAATTTCTACCCTGAATTTTATGCTCATCTATGTTGATCTGTAAAACAAAGTAAAGCAAAACAAAACCAAGATTTTTATCTATTTGAAATGTGTAATTACAGCTGAAATAGGCACTTCACAGAGAAGAAACATTTTCATAGAAAAAGGCAACAGTAAAGACCTTGGAGCTGGAACTGGTGAATGCGACCTGAGAACCCAAACACGACCCCAGAGCCTCTGAAGGGACAGAGAGCCAGTGGCCACATCTGGGCCTTTCTGCTCAGACCTTTTAAGATGATGTGCAAAGCGGAGAATAATTTTACTATCCACAAAGGAAGAAAATGAGAGAACAGGAGGCAGGGAGAAGACGACAGCATGCAGACGGAGGGCCTGGCGGAGGCGGTGTGCAGGTGAACATGCCGGCGGGGGCGGAATGGACCACAGGAGACACGAGTCACCGAGAGGCAGCCTGTGCTCTGCAGCCCATGGGCAGGTCCCGAGGCTCGACGTGAACCTTAAGTGCTAAAAGAACACCAAGGGTTGGGCATACGTGGCTCTGCAAGTTTTCTTCCTCTTAGGTGTGAATTCAAACTTCCCTATTTAATTTGGGACAGAAATGATCAACATTTCTTGAGGGACCAAAGAGACAGGGTCTCTGTCCCCCAGGCTGGAATGTAGTAGTGTGATTACAGCTCACTGCAGGCTCAAACTCCTGTAATTTTTTCTTCTTTTTGTAGAGATAAGGTCTTGCTGTGTTGCCCAGGCTGGTCTCAAACTCCTGGCCTCCAGCAGTTCTCCTGCCTCAGCCTCCCAAAGTGTTGGGATTACAGGCATGAGCCATGGTGCCCAGCCACCAAATTTCTTTCTTTAAATTATTTTTAAATTTAATTGTATTTTGAGATGGAAGTCTCACTCTGTCACCTAGGCTTTTCCCAGCAAACAGCAACCTCAGCTCACTGCAACCTCCACCTGCTGGGTTTGAGCGGTTCTCCTCCCTCAGCCTCCGCAGTAGCTGGGATTACAGGTGCCCGCCACCGCGTCTGGCTAATTTTTTGTTATTTAGTAGAGATGGGGTTTCACCATATTGGTCAGGCTGGTCTCCAACTCCTGACCTCAGGTGATCCACCCGCCTCGGCCTCCCAAAGTGCATGTGCCATTGCACCCGGCCTCCCAGCCATCGAATTGCTTTGATTTTGTTTTGACCATCACAAGCTGGAAAGACACGGACAAAGTGGAAAATACTTCATGTGCACATTAACTCCTCCATTCTTTGCCCAGCGAACGGGCCTCCCACGTGCTCCCCACGTTGAGTCGCGAGTGCCTGTGCTGCCACCTGCCGTCTCTACGCCCTCCTTACTTGCAGGGTTGGCACTGCTTTGCTCCCGACCAAGTGCTAAAAATGAGAATGGCAAACATTTTAAGTGTCTCGAATACAAACGTCATCTCAGTGATATTTGCTAGTTTTCTCTGGATGCTCTACTAGGCACAGGGACAGATAGTTTCCGGGAGGAAATGTAAATAACGGACAGGTAAGTACACGGTTGAATTCTCCACAGAAACCCAGCCTGCCCACTGCCCTCTGTCAGCATCGGGGCCGCCTGCCCACTCCCCAGCTACGCCTTCAACTCCCTCACCCTGTCCCGACCCAACACTCACATCATCTGAAAGAAATGTGAAATGATTTTGGAAAAATAAAGTTAGCCGAAAAGAAAATTAAAAGGGCACTGAATATATTCAAATGACTATATATAAAAACCAAAAAAGCTTAATTTTTAGCTATAATTTCTCATGTCAGTTTGGTCATCAAATTGTGCACATACATTCTTCCTGCATCCTGGTACTTTTTCGTTTTTAAATTTTAGAGTCAGAGTCCGGCTCTGTCACCCAGGCTGGAGTGCAGTGGCGAGGTCACAGCTCATAGCAGCCTTGAACTGGTAACCTTCTTTTTGCTTTAACAATACGGCTTTTCAAAAATTTCAGGAAAACACCTCCAAATGTTTTTCAACTTAGGTTTGTCGGCGGAGCTCGGTGGCCCATGCCTGTAATCCCAGCACTCTGGGAGGCCAAGGTGGGCAGATCACTTAGACCGGAGTTTGAGACCAGCCTGGCCATCAGGTGAAACCCTGTCTCTACCAGAAATACAAAAATTAGCCAAGTGTGCCAGTCCCTGTAGTCACCGCTACTCAAGAGGCTAAGGTGGGAGGATTGCTGGAGCCCAGGAGGCCAAGGCTGCAGTGAGCCAAGGCTGTGCCACTGCATTCCAGCCTGGGTGTCAGAGCAAGACCCTGTCTCAAAATTAAAAAAAAGAAAAAAAAAAAAGAAGAATTTATCATTTCAAATATTATATCTGGAGACGGGACTTCATAAATATCTTCATCTGGATAGGCTGAATTCAGTTGATTCACCTGATCCACAGAAATCTATAAGGAGTCAGGCCAGGCACAGGGCCTCATGCCTGTAATCTCAGCACTTTGGGAGGCTGACGTAGGAGGATCGCTTGAGCCCAGCAGGCTGAGGCTGCCGTGTGTGTGATCGTGCCACTGCACTCCAGGCTGGGTGACACAGTGAGACCCTGTCTCCAAAAACACACACACACACGGTAAGTCTTGAAACTACATAGCGCTGTTAGTCTTCCGGCTTCGTTTTTTCACAGTTGTTTTGGCTATTCTAGGTCCTTTGAATTTCCATGTGAATTTCAGAATGAGCTTTTTCGATTTCTTGAGAAAAAAAGCCTGCTGAGATTCTAATGGAGATGACGTGAATTTGGGGAAAAGTGACATCCCAATGATATTGAGTCTTCTGACTCAGGAACACGATTCCTAGCGATCGAAGCATGAGGTGAGCGAACTGTTGAGAGAATGCTGCTGTTGAGAAGACCCATCACACAGGAAGCCCAGTTGCAGAACAGTCTCCAGAACTGGGAAAACAAGGAAGCAGACATGCTACAGGAGCTGTCCAAGAACTGTCCTGCCTGTGTGTGGATGACCACAGGACGGGCTCCTTCCTGTCACAGTATATGGTAAGCCTCTCAGGAGGGGCTCTTCCCAAGGGCAGTGGATAGACCAACCTGTTGGAAGTTTTTGGGGCCCTGAATATCACACAAATACTAGAGCTGACTTTTAAAGGCAGCTTTACTCAAAAGAGAATGCTATTTTGGTTTGCGTTCTTCATCAAGTTCTTATTCTACTACAAAGCAGGACCTAAAATTTAAATATGTACATACCTTTCAGGTACATTACCTTTTGGATATAGTTTATTCTTCGCCTAGCTTTAATTCCGACCTAAGTTAAAGGCTGTACCAAAAAGAAAATTTCCCCAACCCTAAGCTATTTAATACGCAAGAATTGGCTTTTTTGGCAGGGAGGTGGGGAGTGGGGATGGAGTTTTGTTCTTGTTGCCCAGGCTGGAGTGCCATAGCACAGTCTCAGCTCACTGCAACCTCCACCTCCCAGGTTCAAGTGATTCTCTTGCCTCAGCCTCCCAAGTAGCTAGGACTTTAGGCACCTGCCATGATGCCTGGCTCATTTTTCTATTTGTAGCAGAGATGGGGTTTCACCATGTTGGCCAGGCTGGTTTTGAACTTCTGACCACAGGTGATCTGCTCGCCTTGGCCTCCCAAAGTCTGGGATTACAGGTGTGAGCCACTGTGCCCAGCCAAGAACTGGCTTTTTAAGTGCATGGCCTCGTGTCTTAAAAATGAACACGTGGTCACAAACTCCCAGGCAGGCTCCGCCACAGGAGAGACACTGATTTCCTTCCGTGTGTGCTACCAAGGGCAGCTTACGCGTCTTCAGCAAATTTAAAGCCATAAATCAAAATGGTGACTAAAAAGGCAACCTCAAATTCCTGAGTCATAAAAAAATATCAAGAAGGAAGAACATTAACACTCCCAGAAAGAGAGAAATATATACAGATTTTTGTCTTTTTGATAAAATCTGTTCATTGCTAGGAACAGTCATCATTGTGAGAAAAGCATGGACTCCAACTGGATTAGATAGAAAATTAGTTACTGATGCTCAGTGTTCAGTGAGCGTTTCTACTGTATTTCCAGTATTTTCAGGCTCTGATGAGCTCTCAGAAGCATTCAGTCATCTATTTTGCTGTTAACCTGAGCTGAGGTATTAGAAGGCGGGAGAGGCAGACTGCCACGGCTACCGTGGGGCTGGGTGTCACGAACCCTTTCCTGTGCAACTCCGAGAAAGGAGCCCAGACCAGCGCGACCCAATTGGGACACAGCGCCAACCACGTAATTCTAAATCTTCTACGAGTCCACATTCAGAAAGTAAAAAGAAATGGAGGGGCGTTCATTTAATAGTATATTTGATTTCATCCAGGTTGAATATCGCTAATCCATGCTCCAAAATCCAAACCTTTTTGAGCA